GGCATGGCCTGGTGACTTCCTTTGGCCAACAGGCCGTTGGCAATCGTGACCAAGCAGTCTTAGAGAAGCACTTACGCAGGAACGTGTCCCCTCTTGCTGCCCCAAGGCCACCACATGCTGCGTAATGAGACCATGTGGAGCAGAGACGAGTTGTCCCAGCTGAGGTCTCTGGGCCAGACATACGAGTGAGGCCATTGTACACCATCCGGCCCAGCCGGCCACTCGCGCATGTCAGGACGGCCCAGCACACCTGCGGACTCCTGAGCAACACAAGGCTTGTTGCTTTAAGCCTCTACATTTGGACATTTGGGGTCGATTATTAGGAAGCAATAAATTTCTGACACACATGGCTTGTCAAGGCCTGTGTGCTTCTCATCTCGAAAGCTTCTCCTGGGGCCTCTCCATGGGCAGGTTCTGCCTGTGACTCTTAGCATTCACCCGTCTGCTGCTGTCTCTTCTTCAGCCCAGGAACGCACCTGATTTTCAAGGCAGGCAATCAGGGCCCCTCTGCCACCCCCAACTCTGACTTCTCCTCTTTCTTCCTGGATATTATAGTCCTTTGCTCCATACCCTGTCTCTGAAGAATTGGATGCGAAATGTCACATGTGGTTAGTTTTTATATGAAATGAATAGCAGTTGCTTTCATCTTTCCAGCAACAGTGACCTTCACAGCACCCGAGTTTCCCTTTGGGGAACCACCCCTTCCCTACTCTTCTCAGTCCATGTGGTTTGGGTGCATCTGACCCCACTGCTGGCCTAGCCTGGCCATTCAGAGAACTGCCTCTCCCTGACGATGGAGACCGACGACTGGAGATCAGCTGGGGAGAGCTGGTTTTGGAGTCTGCTAGAACTATTAGGAAAGGAGCAGGCCCTTCTCCTGGGGTTGTTAAGCCAGTAAAAGGGCGTCCAGAGTCACAGGGGGCCACCTGTGGGCCATGTCTGACACTACAGATGTGTTCCTAAAGTGTGGTCCCTGGCCCAGTATCACCTGAGAACTTGGTAGGAATGAAAATGCTTAGGCTCCACCCTAGATGCACTGAATTAGAAACTGAGCCTGGGGCCAAACAATCTTGAGTTTTCATTTGCTTTGCAAATAATCCTGATGCATGTTCAAGTGTGAGACCCACTGGACTAGAGGACAGCAGAGCTCACTGATAAAGCAGCAGCTTCCTGGTGACATCATTGGCGCCTGGATCCCACCACACCTGAGGTCGGCGCCACAGCCCTAGACTTTCCAGGTCCATGATGTATTTTCCTTTGTGGCCTCAGGCAGTTGGGGCTTCTGTCACTTACCATTAGTAATGAACAGTGACTAATATGTTAGGAAACTCTGGACTTTGGCAGAATGGCCTTTTGCTGCAGGTTTTCCTGACAGAAATGCTAACTACAGGCCTGTCAGGGTCTCTAACTCACTCACGCTAAGGGGCGTTGCTTTGTTTCTATGGCTGGCAGCTTGTCTGGGGAAAGTGGCTCAGACATATCACTTCTCTAGAGCACTCAGGCCCCTTGGATGATAAACTTTCCGCATTAAAGACTAATGTTCTTCCACCCTCAAGGAGACAACAGGTCTCTAGAAGCTTTCTGGGAGGCTGATGGACAGAGACCAGAGTAACACAGCACAGGAGGTCCTTTCATTAGAATCGGGGGCAGTGACAGTGATAGGGAGGGATGAACCTCTCACGGAGTTGAGAACTTCAGTTAATTGACACAAATTCAATTTTATGACTCCAGCCAAAGAAAAAGGCACAAGCAGAGAAATAACTCTTTTTTAAAGAGTATAAACAATAGGCTATACTTCTGATAATGGCAGACGTGCTAATCTGGAGCAACCCTTCCTTGGAGCACAACTAGAAAACCTGGACCCAATATTATAAAGATCTGTTTAAAGGCGTGGGGAGCAGACAGGGCTGAGAAGGAAGGATTGCAGAGCCAACAGCAGGCAGGAGAAGGAACCCCAGAGAGGTGAACCCAGCACTGGGGGGAGGTGTTGCCCCTCAAGGTGATGCTAATTCTGAGAAGAGCTGCTGCGAGGCTGGGGAGCTGAGAAGAGCTAGTCTGAGAGTCAGGGTGGCTCCTGAAAAGCGGCAGGGGTGGAGGGTCCTGGAAAGTTAACAAGGTGTGACAATCCAAAATACTACTGACTGTGTGAAATAATAATGGTGATGGCATCATCTAGTGAAGCTGAAAATCTGAAGAGAATTAAAATGCATGACAACAGCAACGTTTGCGTTGGAAGGAGAACAAATGAAGTTTCAGAGTGGTGAGGCACTTGTGTGGAATGAGAAGTGATAAACTTGCTAATTTAAAGTAGACTCTAGTAGGTCAGGAACGCATATTGCAATCTCCAGTAATGACTAAAAGAATAATCAGAGAATGTATAACTAACAAGCTAATAGAGAGGGAAAAAAAAGACTATAAAGTAACCATTCAAAAGAGGGCAGGAGCGGAGAGAAAGAAGAACATAGAACAGGTGGAACAGATAAAAAGCAAACGATAAGATAGTGGGTTTAAACTAAATATATCAGCAATTACATTAAATGTAAATGGACTAAATGTGCCCATTAAAACACATAGATTGTTAGAGGATAAAAATAAAAAAACAATTACGTGTGGCTTACAAGAGAAAGTTTGAAAGTGAAGGAATGCAAGAAGATAGCTCCACCACGTAAACACGAACCCAAAGAAAGCTGGTAGGCTTTAAGGCAAAAAGCATGACTAGAGTGAAAAAAAGACCATCCATGGTAATAAAAGGTTCAATGCATCAGGATGATAGAAAAAGGCTGATATTTATATGCCCCCCAAGAGCCATCCTCCCCAAATACAAGGGCAAGCAGGCAAGTGGCCCAGATTTTGCCTGGAAGAGGGTGGGCTGGTTTGATTCCACTGTCCTCTCGCCTCTGGAGGTGTGAACATTCTGGAATCTTCCGCCTAATGCCAGGGTTTAAAAACACCCTCTTTCCCTGCAAACCAGACCCTAAACAAAACCAAATGCTTCCCTTGGGGCTCAGCCAGGAAGCTGTGATTGTTTCCACCCCGGAGGTGCAACGACTGTCTGTGCTTACTGAGAGGGGCCAGGTCTGAATGGCATCACCTACGGGCTGCATGTAATCACCAGTTTGAGGAATTTACAAGAGTAGTTTTGGTCCTCTGCACTTTTTGCAACCTTTAGAAACACATCTTCATGGCACGCGTGGGTCCACCGTAATCCCTTTATAGTGTGAAGCGGGTGACAACGCCATGGTTTTCAAGTTTCCTTTCTCCAAATTTGGCTTAGGCTGGAGCCAAGCATACTTAACAGATAAAAGCTGTTCTTGAATCCTTATCTCAGAGTCTGCTTCTGGGGGAATTCAAACCCAGACAATATTTACACAGCTCGGAACACACGCCCAGTAAGTGGCAGCTATGGTTATTTCCTCCTTCTCCTTCCATCTGCCCTGAGCTGCTGGGAAAAGAGCGCCAAGCCTCAGGCTCAGGCTCAAAGTGCACTGGCCCAGATCTCCCAGCTATGACTGCAGGGGAGGGGCTGGTTCCCACCACCAGGTCCCTGGCCTGCACCTGTCTGCAGGAAACAGTCCCTCCAGCTGCACAGTAAACACAGGTGGAATGCCACGGGCCACAGAGGTCAGGGGCCCTGGCTCAAACCAATCACCTGTCTAACGAGGCTGGCTGGCTGGGGATGGGTTTTGCCCAGGGCACCCCAGGGGGACACCAGGATGCCTTGAACAATCTATGGTCCTTTGGGTCACAGAAACCAGAAGTAAGTGGCCACCACGGTGCCATTCCAGGCACTGGACGTGACCCAGGGCATCAGCCTGAGATGATCTGTCTCCAGTCTGCTGGTCAAAGACACAGCAGAGGGGTCACTCCTCCAGGTTCCAGCTACTCTGTGCCTCAGTGTCTCATCTGTGAAATGGGGACAATCGCAGTACCTACCTTACAGGCTAGTTCTAAGGGTTGTAATTTTCTTATAGGTGTTCGCGAATTACATCTATAATTTACTTACCGATGATATAATGAAGAGCTTACAATGGTGGCTGGCTCATAGCAAGTACTCAATCAATATAACCTCTCATTTCACTAAGAGCGGCAGACAGGCTCTTCACCATAAACCCTTTTGTATCTTTAGAATGTAGTACCATTTGTACATATGACCCACATAAAGTAAACAAATTAATTGAAAAGCAAAAACAAATATAAAATAAAATTTCAATTATAACCACATATTGGTCACAGAACAAGAAAGCAGGTGTGATAGTCATGTGTCCCCTGGGGAGCCCAGGTATTCGGTCAAACATTATTCTGAGAGGATGTCTTTGGAAGAGGTTAACATTTTAATTGGTAGAATAAAGCAGACTGCCCTCCACAATGTGGGTGGGCCTCGTCCAGTCAGTTGAAGGCTCAACTAGAACAAAAAGACTGACCCTCCCTGAGGAAGAGGGAATTCTCCAGCAGATGGCCTCTGGACTTCATGTGAACCACTGGTCCTTCTCGGGTGATGGCCACTGAATGAGAACGTGGGCTCGTCCCACGTCTCTAGCCTGCCCAGCTATCCAGCGGATCCGACTTGCCAGCCTCCATAACTGCGTGAGCCAATTCCTCATACTCGCCCTCCTCGGTCCCCCCTGCCAGTGGTTCTGTTGCTCTGGAGACCTTGACTAAGAATACATGTACACGGGGCGGCCAGTTAGCTCAGGTGGTTAGAGCGCAGTGATCATAACTCCAAGGTTGCCGGTGCTGAGCTGCGCCCTCCACAACTAGATTGAAACAACTACTCGACTTGGAGCCAATGAGTCCTGGAAAAACACACTGTTCCCCAATAAAAAAGAAAAAAAAGAAAAAGAGAATACATGTGCAAAAGGTCAGCTTAGGCCTCGGCAGGCAGAGAGGGTAATACAACAAGGACTCTTCTATCTTCTATCACAGCGCCCCCTCCTCCCCGCCCTCCAGAGAGTGGCCCAGCCCCCGTTTCATGCCTGCTTGGCGGCCCCCAGAACGCTTACTTGAGCTTGGCCTCTCCTGGTCTGGGCACACGGTGCGCAGCGGGGGATTCGGGTTTTGCTCCGGTTTGCTGGGAATGAAGACCTCAGCGTCGTCCTTCCGCTTAGCAGACAAATTCCTTTCCTTTTTATGACCTGTTGGAAAACAATGATTTTTTTTCTGTCAACCACCGAGTGCCAGCAGAACGGGGACATTCTGCTCAGGCATCTGTTTGTTTGCGCATTCACTTATTCATGCACCAGATATTTATTGAGCTCCTGCTCCATGCCAGGAGCCATACTAGCTTGGGATTAGAGATGGGACTAACGTTCAACGAAACAAGTTTGCTGACAGCCATTGTGCGCCAAGCACCATGTTTGGGCAAATAGGTGAACTTGGCTTGGACACACACAGGTTTTTAAATGTTAGCATTTCCAAATAGGGGCCAGTCTTAAAGTCGGTGAGGTGTTGGGTTTAATTGGCAACATGGTACATAAAATAATGGCACCACCAAGGTCATTAGAGTTGAAAGAGAGTGACAAAGCACATTTGCAGCCCCTGAAGCTCCAGCCCCCAAAGGAAAAGGACGGCCGCATGGATCAGAGAGCAGGGCTGGGACAGGAGAAGGGTCCCAGACCCAGGCCACGGAGGAGCATGCAGCCTGGAGTGTGGCTGGCGGGGACGCAACAGACAATGAAGAGAGCCCCTACAGATGACTAAGACATTACCAGGGACACAGAGCTGGGGGCATCCCAGACACGGAACAGCGTGTGCAAGGGCTGGGCAGCTGGAGGGCATGTGGCAGGTGAGTGGTTGGGGCCTGGGCTGGCGAGAGACACCGGGCAGTGAAGGGCCCACATGCCATGCTTCAGAGTCAAAGTGTCCCAAAGTGGAGCACCTGGACCCCTTGGGGAATAGGAGCAAATCCTAGATGCCATGGGGGCACATGATTTTTTAAGCACTTATAGGTCTGAACGTGTATGGAAAAAATATGTAAGGCATATATCCACCCTTGATTTCATGAATATGGTTGCTTGAAACAAGCCCAGAATTACGAAAAAAAGAAAGAAAGAGAAAGGAAGGGAGGAGGGAAGAGAGGAAAGAGGTGAAGAGAGAGGGGAGCAAAGGAGAGAAAAAAAGAAAGGTGCTGGTTTAAATAGCAGCTAAAAAATAGTACAGGCCGTTTGTGGAGATGACATAAAATTGTGAAGAAGGTCTGAAAGTGGCTCAAGTTTAGAGAAAATGGCTCCAGGGCCTCAGAGCCAGGAAGGGTTTAAGGGCAGGAGAAGGATGTGCTCAGGGTCCCCGGGCAGGAAGGCTGCCCTGTGGGCAGCAAGGCGGGTGGCTAAACAGAACAAAGCAAGCAAGCAGGGAGAAGGCTCAGGTCTCTGTGTGTGGGACCTCCTGGCCTAGGAAGGCAGAAAACCCAGGAAGTGCCCGCTGAACTGCCCTGTGATATGAGTCCCAGCAGAGGAAACCGCGGGGGCCTGTGGTGGCCCAAAAGAGAGGGAGTCCCAGAATCGAGGGCCCCAGGGGGCTCTTCGGGGCTCAGGATAGATGCTGGAGACTTGTCTGGGGTCTGTCAGACTTGTATTAACCTCCCACTATCTCCCCAACTCTAGAACAACATATGTTTCTCTACAGTTTCTGAACTAACTGCTCCTGGCTGGCCTGACAGGGCTCAAGGCTGACCTGCGTGTAAGAGAGGCCCCACTATGTCCAGTGGCACAAGACAAAGAATGAAGAGGGGCAAATGACCACAAGGTTGGCTCCCCAGTGCTGAAAACATGCTGACGACAGGAAGAGTGACCGCTTTCGGAGTGCCTAGGCACACACTGCCTCATCTGCTCCCCCAGCCACCCCAGAGGACAGCCGGCCGGCAGAACGATGGCCCCATAAAGATGGCCGCCTTGTCATCCTGGAACCTGGGGATGTGGAGGTGCCAAAGCAAGGGGAATGAACCGTGCTAATCAACTGGCTGACCTCAAAACAGGGGGGTTATCTCAGATGACCCCAGTGCACCCAAAGTCATCAAAAGTGTCCTTAAAAATGGAGGACAGACAGTTTCAGTTTGGGATGATGAAAAACTTCTGGGGACAGGGAGTGGTGA